GGAGCAGCCAGGCTCAATTTGTGGCCGAGTCACATATCATTCTGGTACTGAGTATCCTTTACAATAATTGAAGAATGCAGAAGGAGCAAAGGAAAGCTATGTGCTAACAATTTTTTTTTTTTCTGGCAGTAAATACCAAGACTTTTAAAAGGCATTAAATCCTTTTTTAACTAACTGTTGAATTTCAAAATATTAGTGTTGCTCTACCTTGACTATCTCTGGCTGGATATTTCTCTCTGTGTGTGTTTCTGTCTCTCTCTGCCTATGATATGAATAGTAGAATTAAAATGGTATGACTTTCTTCTCAGTGGAATAATGAAATAGCAGACTTAAGACATAGCGTGCTCACAAAACCCCATTAATTGAATCTCTACCTCATTTGTCATCTTTCCACTTGAAATTTTATTAGGCACATATGTGAAACAAGTACATTTTATCTATCAAACTGATAAAAATGTAGAGGATTAGAAAAATTCTGTCCTATGGTATTGTTAGAATTCTAAAACCTACACCAGGGACATACTAAAATGATTTAATTTTTTCCCAACGTAAGATTGGTCGCACTTTTCCAATTGTTAAGTTATAGCTTAACTTATAAAAGAAAAACACACTATTTAAAGGCCTAACTTTTGAAATGAGCTTGAGAAGAAAGTGGTTAAGTCGGTTTCCCTGAAGGATGTGATTCGATATAACAGGCTCAATGGGATAGATCCACATTGAAGGACATTCAGGGGCACAAATTTGACACTATGAATATGTATGTATGTATATATGTATGTATGTATAAAACAGAACATGAAATTGGGAAGGGTAGTACAGATAGGGGAGGGGAAGTAATAAGATAAAAATATATTGTATGAAATTCGCAATATTTCAGTTTAAAAAAGGAAAAAAGAAAAGGAGAAAAATCTAAGAATGAACTTCAACATGAAGATTTAGAATAAGATACAGAAATAGGCTGTCTATATAAATCATGTGCTATGATAGACACTAACAAGCCCGCATCAAATTAAAATAACGTGTACCTTTGAGTTTTTCCGACATTATGAACAGGTTTATTAGTCAGTTTGAGTTAGGTTATGTCTTTTATAGCTTTTAATTTAAAAATATTGCCTGACTCCCCTCCCAGAAAGTGTCTAGCATATTATTTAGGGATACCAAAACATTGTGTTTATGAAATTTATTACACCAGGCTGAAGAGATGGCTCAGTGGTTAAGAGCACTTGCTGCCCTTCATTCCTAGCACCCACTTGTGGCTCACAGCCATCTGTAGTCTGTGTTCCTGGGAAGCAACCCCCTTTTCTGGCCTCAGTAGGCACCCATCACAGACACATGATCATACATACATGCAGGCAAAATTGTCATACACGTGAAATGCAAGTAAATCTTTTAAAAGAAGATTTATTAAACCACATGACTTCTGCATCATTGTCAACATGGTCCTCTAGTAGGATGACACATTTGGATGCATCCATGTAACTGAAGCCCATGGCTTCCTTGCATTTATTTACATCAGAATGTAGATTGTGGTTTTAAAAGTAAGAAACGGCTTGTCAGGACTCAGGTTTGCTTTGCTTAGTGGGGGACCTGCTGGCTTCGGGACAGAGGGTCTGATTGGTGACAGAGTCAAACTCTGGGACCTGTGTCTTCCCAACAGGACGATTTATTTTAGAATTCATATGGTTTTATACATCCCAAGGAACTAGCAGTCACATGGGATATGACAGTCACATACAGAGATTTAGGGTACAAAGAAACAGGACATTTAATCTGTTAGTTGGCACCAGAAAGATTTTTAAACTTTTACTTAAGGTTATCAATGCCCACCCAGTAATTTATTGGCCACAATGTTTTCTTTCTTAGAGCTAAAAGCATGGTGAACTTTTAGCTTTTAGCTCAGGAGTAAAACTTTAACCTGGTCTAATCTCTTAGCCAGGGATAGCTGAGTTATTTGTTTAGGACAAGGAGATGAGCTAAGGGTTGTTGACCAAGATGCTTTCCTACAGAGGGGAAACCTGCACTTATGACCAGGCTGCTTTGTCCTGCAAGTCTGGCAGTGTTCTGCAAGACAGGGATTATCAGAGCTCACTGTTTTCAGTGCCCCTCCCTTTAGCAGAGAATGCAGCCTGGACCTATAAGTTTTAGTCTCATTTTACCCTAGTGCCTGGCATCCTGGTTTCCTACAACAGCTATGTTTTTTTGTTTGTTTGTTTGTTTGGTTGGTTGGTTGGTTGGTGTTTTTTTTTTTTTCTGTTCTGTGTTTTGGGGGGTAGAAGGGAAATCTAATGTGTGTAAACTAAGATTGGAAATATTTATATTTGAATATTCGTTCTTAAATTTTGCCTTATGGTTCAGTATTAGCCTCAGTGTCTCTGCTGCAACATTAATATAATAATGATTAGTACTTTTTGTAAATCAGAGTGACTATAGATGAGGAAATGAAATATTTGTGACTAGGTTAATAGGACCATCTCTTTCTTATTAAAAAATCAGAGCAAAACCATATTTGCTGTTAGTTTACTTTTTGACATTTAAATGCCTTTATTTAACAAAGTGCATAAAGACTGAAGCAATTGCTAAGAAACTGTATTTGTTACAGATGAGTTTTTAGCTTCTATTTATTCATAAATTACTCTTCCTTTTTCTTTCTTTTCTTTTCTTTCCTAATTTGTTTCTATTCAAGTGTAGCATTTTTAGAGCATGCTTTTGTAAGAGAGACAAGTCTATTAAAACCATCAGTATTATATGGAGATCTTCCTTCTGTTGAATGGCAGGAATTCTTCAAGGTTTCATTTTATGGATGGCTGAAATCAGCAGAGATAGAAAGATATAGACTTCAGCACTAACACATGGAACAGTTAAGGATTCCCACTCCACTGATTTGTACAGTAGTTGTTTCCTCAGCGTCCTGTGTATTCCTAGTTCAAGGAGAACAAACTATTTTAAATGTGACCTCATGCTTGTTATGAGTAAAGTTTAAGGCAGCCATTTTTAACTTCTCATTTTGATTTCACTCTGTAGTCTACTGATATTTTCTGCTTGCCACATTTTTTAAAAGTTTGGATCTTTCTTTATTAAAGTTTTTTTGTATAAATCAATATAGCATTTTTGTTTAGTCACACAGAATGTTTGTGGCTTTTGGCTTTTCCTACTATTTAGTAAGTCACATCATTAGACAAAATTGTCTTATGCAAAGTTTTATAAAGAGAAAGCAGATGGAGTCATCTGGTGTCATAGTCTAAAGATTCATATGTATCGTTAGAGTCTTTTACTATATGAAAAGGGTTAAGCAATATTAGGACTTTTTGAAATGGTGTGTGTGTCTGTGATACTTGGCAATAACTTACATAATGCTTTATATTTCTCCTAGGAAAAATTCATTTTCTTTTCATCCTTTGGAGACAGGGTCTCTGTAGTGCTAACTGGCCTGGAACTCCCTATGGAGAACAGGATGGTTTTGATCTCACAGAAGTCTTCCTGCCTCTGCCTCCAGAGTGCTGGGATTAAAGGCATGTACCACCATACCCAGTCTTATTTCATTTTTTAATCAGTTATATTTTCAACATCTGATATAACTGTATAAAGTATTCAGTGTTCACAGGAAGTTAGCATGTCAGAAAATATCTGTAATCCAGTTTTAAAATATAACAACTGCATGCCAAGAATTAGCAAGAGGAGAGCATACAGAAGTTGAGCCCATTTTCCAGCTTGGTTATGAGGTATATGAAGGATTTCTGTAGCCACATGAGGGAGAAAGAGTAAAACAGGTATGAAATATTGTATTAAAGATGTGTTGCCTTATTGATTATGAAGTATTTTAAATGTCTGTGATTGCGGAATGCAGTGGCATGTATACAGGCTTGTCTTGCTAAGAACAGAGTATCAAAGAGAAAGAGAACAGACAGAGTAGAAGGTCCTAGCAGTTGTCCTGGGTGTGGGAGAGAAACCTAAACCAAGGTAATAGAGAAATGACTCCCAATGCTAATTAACAGGAAGAATGCTCAAGGCAAGTAACAGCTTTCTCAAGTGAGAGCTGAGAATAGAAATCAGTGATGATTCGAATCAGGATATTGACATCAAGAAATTTAGAAAAAAAGCTCGTTTGAACAATTCATATCTGTAGCCTGTCCTACTCAAAAGGCAGAGGCAGAAGAGCAGCTTCAGTTCAAGAGATTCAAGCTCAGCCTTGCAGTGTAGCAAGACTCAGTCCCAAAAGCAAATAAACAAGCTGAGGAGGTGTGGTGGTGCACACCTTTAATCCCAGCACTCAGGAAGCAGAGGCAGGTGGATCTCTGTTAGATCAAGGTCAGCCTGGGCTACATAGCAAGTTCCAGGACTGCTGGGACTGCAGGGAACCATCCTCCAAAATAACCTGAAAAACAACCCCCTCCTCCAAATGGAACTAAATATTTAGCTTAACCAAATCCATGTGATTAATAGGCCTCATTTTTGACCAATGATATAAAGGGTTTTAATCCTGTTTTAAGTGTCTAAGATTGTAAGGAAGAACTTAAAATTCTCAACCCAAAATTGGAGATGTGCACAGTTGGTAGAATACCCACTTCACATACACAAAGCCCTGGGTGTCATTTACCTATAACCCCAGCACTTCGGAGGTAGAGGCAGAAGGGTCTGGAGACCATGTTCTGATACATGACACTTTCTGCAAAACAGAAGGAATAAAGAAAAAAAGGGAAGAAAGGAAGAAGCAAATTATTTCTAGTAAGTCCAAATGTTTGTGATTAATAGGGTAGTATAATCTCAAACATTTATACATTTAGTACATTTATTAGATATTTATGAAAGATTATTAGTTACTGTGAATATTTTTACTTTCCTTTGGCTATTCTATCATATCTTTCTATAAAACACCATACTTCCTTGTATTATAAAGAATATATCTGTGGGGGTATGAAATTATAAATTCACATATATGCATATATATGTTAAAATAAGATGGCTCAGCAGTTAGAAACACTGACTGTTCTTACAGAGGATGGCTAACAACCATCCCAGTTCCAGGGATCCAAAGCCCAGGCATTGCACAGTAC